TGTACGCAAAAAACCTTTTGTAGGATCAGGCGCCCGACCCTGTAGGATTACCAAGGTTCGACTGGATTCGTAAAGTGCGATCATACAACATTTGTCCTCCTCGAAACCCTAGCTGTATTTTCCGCTTCGCACGTTGTTAGTGCGAATTGAATGACAACCGCCCTTCACTCCTGTCTCCTCATTCAAACAAACCCGAACTCCGTTCGGAGATTCGTTCTGCGACTTCGAGGGCAGACCATCCCTGGTAAGGATGGTATACTGAGTTGTTCTCGATCACCCAAGATTTCGTAGAATCTTTCCCTGGTCTTTTTAGTGAGACGCTGAGCAAGGCTCACACCGAATTTTTTAGATACTGATACCCACGAAAATGATGGCTACCATACTTTGAGCTTCTAACCACTGCTAAAAAGTTGGAAAACACCGCAACGGAGAAGCTTGAGAGGTTGTGGTGTAGGCTGCGACTCGACCTCGAGGTGTGTTTCTAGTCAGCTTCCCCTAGCAAACTGCCCAACCAAACCTGACCAGCATAAGCGAGTACTGATTTAAGAAGCTGGTGCAGCGTTCTGGCGGACCAAGCGGGATAGGCCTGCGAGGATTAAGCAAAATATAGTGGACGGAATCAAATGAGAGTAGGCTTATATCTAAGTATACTCGAAATCCCTGAGATCGGGTAGGCGGGGCATTCGAACACTGTAAGGAACTGGTTACTAGTGGAATATTCCAGTCTGGGACAACTGTCATCTTGTTCTGTGTTGGACAGAGACGACAACGATTGTGTCGAGATGAAAATATCGCATCAGAAGCGTAGACGCCTTAAGGGTAAGTTGAAACATGCGGCCACGCCTACCCGATCTCAGGGATCTCGAGTGTACTTACATTTCACCCCTTGTTTGATTAGCCTACGCTGCACCTCGACACCGCGCTATTTTACCAGAGCCCGAATATGATATATGATATCTGTTTTTTTTGCTAAAATAATCATATGTAAATCAATCATTGAAAATCGTGCAAAATCCCTTCGAACAGGGGTTATACACAGTAGCAAAAAAAAAACAAGTCATGTTGTTTCACAGTCCACTTAGTATTCAGAAGCCACTGCATTTACTGAGAGGAAATTGAACCGTTTCGGGAAAGTGATCTTTCAGCGAGGAAGCCTCATCCTCCCGGTTTTTTAATGCAGTAAAATTAGCACCGCTCTGCCGGCCGTGTTGCAGTAGGGGATGTCCTTCGGTGTTACCACGGCATGGTTGGCTGTCATGAGTTAGACTCACGTGGCTAATCAAACGAGGGGTTCAAATTTGTCTAGGTGTTCTTCTTTTTTCCCTTCTACTCCTTTAGTATGCTCTATTTTACTAGAGCCCGACAATTTTTCAAACATGCATCCCATGTCATTATAGTAGCAGCGCCCAATCACGATAGTCTCCCGACAACGGCTTCAACCGGGCAACTCTAATTTCGGAATTGCTTTTTGAGGTAAACTTGATCTAAGAGGTAAGAATTTTCGCTTTTCCAGCAAGTCTGGCAATATTGAAAAGAGCGCAAGGTCTGCTTCTTCAAATTTTTTTCCGCTACTGCATATGCAATGTATCCTATTTCAGAACGAACAGCTTTCTACAGCGGAATCTCCCTCCTGCCCAACGCTTCCAACATTAGTGGCGCTCCAAGGCGAGAATGCCATTGAAACTCCTGGAATGCTATCTATCCTACTAAGCACAGTCCCGTTCTCAACCACTCACTGATCAAAGCACAAGAATAGAGTGGTACCTAAGTGATGGCGTTTTTTCTGGCATACAATTTGTGAGGAAAAATAAGATGCTTTCTTGATTTTTTCATGCGCATCGAGATGACATGTTTCTGCTTAAGCGCTCACTCAGTTTCAATTGGAATTCAGGAAATCAAAGCTAGGTGTCGAGGTGACGAAGATGAGGATTTGTGACTCAAGATTTTTCCGTTTGATCGAGGTTTGTGAAGTATTCGGACAAGGAACACTTTCTGTAATGAGTGCTCAAGATCGGGTCAAGCATATCAGAGCTGGGAATTTGAGCCCTGTACTTACGCATTGCATCGGGGTTCCCTGTAGGAGCGGATAAAGGCGGTGCCCATATACTGTGCTTTTGAACTTCTCTCATCAACTTAAGGTGATACTAAACGAAACACATCATAGGTATTGGTGGATCAGCCGACTTAGTAAGCTCCCAGTCAAGCCTGCGAGACTTTTCTGCGAGGTCAAAACTGGAGTCCCCAAATCATTTGAACCAACTCTGAGCCTTCTCTCTGGGGTGGTGCAGCTTCTTAGCCATAAGATAACCAAACCATCTCACTGAGCCAAAGATTTCTCATCAAATAGATAGAACGTGATGGCATCATCTTTAACGCGAAATTTTGAGCCAGAAAAACGTCATTACTTGGTCAACCGCTACAAACGGAAAAGAAACTCCTACAACAAATTAGGGTCGTAGTTGAGGTCGAGTCTTATGCTCGTAACTCAGCATTCTTGTGCTACAGGTCATCCTACTTTACCCACTTTTAATTTAAAGACAGTTTCCGCGATAAAGTTTCATGGAGGATAGTTGCTGTTCAATTATGAAACAGTAGCTGATAAGTAATTCCCCAAAGAAGAAAAGCAAGAAGAGTCCTCAAGAACACCATAAACAAAATCGCTCCCTGACAGTCACACCGCCCTGCGGTCTCTGTGCAACCCTGGCTCACAAATCGCTTTTTGCATCTCCCAGTAGTGGATATCATCCAATGCAAAAGAAGAATACGAAAAACAATAAAAGCACGGTTGAAAAACTCTTGACAAAAGGAACTTTTGAAACCCCGTCCGAATTCATGGTTACGGTAGCATGCATCTTTTAGTGCGTCGAGCTTTTGCACCACAAAAATTGCATCACTCGTGATTTTTACGCGTTTTACCTTGCGAGATGGGTTGCAGTTGACTGTATGTGCTCCTAATGAATAAAATGTAATAAAGGAGAGCAGAATTCATTCATGGGCACGAGCGCGGTCAGCAAAAGACATGCATTCCGATTAATGCCCGCCGCCCCAACAAAGAACAACTGAGCGGCCCTCCGTCAGAGGGCATCTAGCAAGTGGGCGGTCCAACTGAGCGGGCGTTAGAACTAGAACTTTCAGCGGCTGTAGCGTGCTCCTCGCCCGCTGTGAAGTGAACAGCTTTCAGCTGTAGAGTCACGCTGTGCAGTCTCTTAGCTTGGGGGCTGGACTACTGGCACAAGAAAGGACGACCATGAATTACTTCAGCGCGGAGGTTGTCTTTAATTTGAATACTGTGGCTCATCTATCCATTGAAAGTTTTCGTTCACATCAATTGCTCCTAAGTTATAAATACTAGGTTGGCGAGAATCTGACATACTTTTTCGAACTCGAAATATTTACCTATTACTTCAAGAGGGGTCACCGTGATGTGAGTGATATGCGATATACATCAGAAAATGGTCTTTCTATTGGTACCACTCCTTGACTCCTGCTCGCTCTTCTTTTACAATATGGACAAGAATGGTATATGCTGCATCGACACAGACCCTCCGCTATCATCGGCTTTCTCACACTCTTTATTTTACCACCCTGACGCCGCATGACAGTTGCAGATGCTAAAACAATGGAGCTGGTAAGCACGATGCCTTCAATTATGAAACAACATTCCTCCGCTTTAAAATGGGAGCCTACACATTTGAAGAGGAAATGAAGTTCGAATATCATGTGAACTCAGCTCGAGGGGCTGCGGCTCGTGGAACTACTTTATGAAGAAGCTGCTCCCACCGTTGATGGCTACACAAAGCAACTCCGAGCTAAGAAGCGAGTCGTCGATAAGAGGGGAAGATTCGTCTCTGTGCTCTCTATTTGCACCAGTGTAGATTGCTCGTTCCGAATATTAGTTCCCTTCCATACTTACCCGTTGTTTGCACGAGAAAGCTTCATGACCTGGTTCAAAACCTATAGGAGGTCCCACTTTGCGTCGCGTCTGCCTGCATTGTAATGTGATGGCATCCAGGAAGTGCTCAAAGACGGGCAAAAACCCGCAAAAGCAATCCTGTATGATTTTAATCTTGCATTCTTCTTTGCAAAGTGAAGCCTGTTTCGAAAAAACATGACAGAAGTTTCCCGTCAACAAGATATAACTAGAATCACTCACTAATGAGTTCCCTCAAGCACTCTGATGAGATGCAGATCACTAAGTTTAGATACTCCGGGCTCTCGAAGAAGAATGTTGTAGTACTCGACAGGTTGGGTCTAGTGGTTGGGGTTCCCCCTGAAGTGATTGTGGAAAATGTGTTACCAAAAAAGCAAATAAAACCCTGATTCGCGTTTTTTCCGTTTTCACTCGTTATCTTTTCACAGTTGCCCCCTGGTTATACGAAAAAAACAGGTACACCGCTTTCTTCAACAATTCGGGTTAGTATTCTAGCAATGAATACCTTTCTCACATCTAGGTCACTCATCTAATTACAGTGTGTATGCTATTCCTGCTATTTTGACCACAACGCCACTTCGACAAGGAAAGTGTACAGGAGTCTGTGCTGTCGAGGGATTATTTCCAACCACAGCAACTCCTCTCTGTCTATAGAGAAAACCTTTCTATGGAGCACTCTGTAATTCAACAATAATTGTTCCACAAATAGGAGCCTTTCCGGGTTTCTCTTTCTTCTTTGATCCCTCTGCTGCTTGAAACACGCCTCATTGAGTGCGTAGCAGTAGGAGGCTTGGTGTCGTCAGCCACTTGTTGTTAGTAAACACTCAAACAGCAATGGACATAAAATGCAGAAAAGTTTAGCATCAAAACCGCTGTCTCGGAGTTTGCAGTAGTGCAATGCAGTGATGGCACATAAGAAGTTCCCTTTTGTGTGCAAACACTGCTATGGCGTAATTTAGGAATGCGAGAGATTCTGGGTTCCATTCCCGTCACTGCCACTACTGTTGCGTCATTTTGTATAAAAAAGTCTCTATCCGAATTTCTTATATTCTTCCAGATTAGCACTTTATCAAAGTTGACAGTTCACATGATTGAGGTGATAGGCCAATAGAGCATTGTCGTAGTGTTGTTGACTCGCTATCCTTCACCAAGCCTTTTAATGCAGAGCAGTGTCCACACATCGCGTTGAATTCATCGCAGGCTGTAAAATCGCAATTGACTATTCTCCTGAAAGCGCCACGTCACTCATCCAGCGTATGGAAGTTTTCTTGCTCAGAGGAGTTCCGCTACGACAGGAAGTGCCGTTTGAGCCGGACTACACTAAGTTCGGGACAAAATTTAGATTTGGCCGAAGATTTGTTCTGTGGGGCAATTTAATCCTCTAAACACAACGATTCTATCCATTGGCGTTAATGAACAGGGAGTAAACGCTTCAAGGCACCATGGGGACTGAAATTCAACGAGACTGACGACTTTGACGGAACTCTCTCGTGAGATGCAAGTAACAATTTCGGTTTCTACATTTGTAAAGAGCAGTCAAGACTCCATCGGAATAGCTAGGTCTCTACTTGAGGCTGGTGACTTGACTATCCTTGTATGTAGGTAAGGTTATGACGTATTGGCAAGGAGGATGTGTGATATTTTTTCAAACTCGAAGTACTTGTCCTTAATTCGATAAGTTTAATCACAATGCAAAAATTAACACTCAGGTTAATACTCTTCCTGCAGTATGGACAACAGTTTCATCCTGAACCGTCAGCACCATCCAACTTCTTCATTTACAGTTCCAGCTGACAGCTGTCGAGGTCGCAATGGAGTAGATGTTCGAGAAAAATTGCCTCGGCTACCGGGCAATTTTCCACAATACCAATGCCCTTAAGCGAGAGGCTACGATTCTGAGACTTTTGAGAGCAGTGTTTCCATTGTCAGACTCTACAGTCAACACTGTTGATCGGAGAAAAAGGAAGTTGTTCACGTAGCCTTCGAACTTTCAACATTAGCGCGAGATAGCAGCTTGCAAAGGTAGTCGAGCCAGATCTACGCAGTACAGCGGCATGGCTTCTTCTCAGCACTCATGCAGCCCAGAAGTTTCTCTTCCGACTACTGCTTGTTTTCCAAACTATTTCGTTACGAGAAATACCCTACCCAAGCCCATGTAAGAATCGAATCGACGTGCTTTGCGTTGCGCCAGTTTTCATTGTGAAGCGATTCCGTCCATAGGGGCTTAAACCTTGGCAAGGAATCCGCGACAGTGAAGTGGACAGTAGTGGATATTTCTTTTTTCATAGGAAAAAACTGACTCTCAAAAAAATGAGACGTTTTCACGCCGTACCAGAACAACCAAGCAGTGAATCGCGACCTCCTGAAACCACTCACCTGATAACTATCTCAGACAAGAATTTCCCTATATCTGCTGCTGTTATGAACATAAGAGGAATACCAATTAAGCCGAAAAACACTGTGAAAATTCGACCTGGGTCTGTGGTTGGAGTAACATGATCATAACCTGAAAGGAAAGATGTAGGAAGGAGATGGGAAAACGTTGGCTACAACAACTTCAAAGATTTATCAATAAACTGCAGAGGCATTCTGACTTCTTCACTTCACGGCTTTTCCATACACATACGGAGGTATTCTGTGTCGGCTCCAACGAAAACCTTTCAAGGCGGAGCCAGTGAACTGGACATAATGTTGAATACGTGCAGTATCTATCGGATGTATGATGAGTGCTCATGTCTCTTTACGACTAACTTTCTGGAGCGGCAACCAACTATAATGGTCGCGCCAGACACCATTCCTAGCATCTCAGACGCAGGATACGATTCGGGGCAGAGTTCGTCTTGGAAGGGCATTTTCTAGTTTTTACTGACGTTTAAATTCGTGAACTCTTGTGAAGTTATTACAACCACACACTATAAAGTTAAAACCATTTCAAAAGTTTACGAGGCTCCACAGGTATTATCAAAAAACTTTTGTCAAGCTTGTTCCATTCCGATTCTTCGTGAAAGTTCAAAGGACTCACCGAGGATAGTGACGTAGCTAAAATATCCCCCGCCCCCACTGATGCAAACAGCGCTCACTAAGGTTGTGAAGACTACAAAGCAGCCAGGTAGTATTTGCTCGCAGGGGAGGGGGTTCTACTTGGCCAAACGACATTTGTTTTGATAGTTGGTTTTTCCGTTTCAGACCCGCTAAAACGTCCTCGTCCTTTCAGTTTTTTGAATGGTTTTTTGCACTGAAATAGCAGTTTTTTATTATCCTTCGAATGCGCATTGCCTTGCAAATATTCTGGTATACATGCACTGAAGTGGCGCACAAGATTGTTCGCCGTAGGGCAACGAATGCAGTTTCGCTTGGGCCGGCTCAAGAAAGTCGATGATCAAGCTGTCTGGGGACCTGAATGCTAACTGCTATGCAATGTGGCAAGATGTTTTCGGGGTCGACAGAAAATACCTTGGTCACCAGCTTTGTCGTTTATCGCAAGAACGCTGGATTTCCTACAGAAGTTTTGACAGGAAAAATGAATATTGACAGACTCGTTTTCTTTGCATACTGTCGAGAATGTCTCGCATCCAGAATGCGAGAAAGCATCACTAAGGTAAGCAAATCCGTATAATTGGAGATCACTGAGCCACCATCGTGTCTGCGTAAATCTAGCGAAAATTATCAGGGTGCTATACAGCGAGGAAATGGCGGAAGAACGAAGTGAAACTGTCAAAAACCTGCGAAGATAAACCTCCGTTCTACGCGACTCAGAAAGCAGTTTCAAACAATTATCCTGTGGGTACTGGGCCAATAACCTCTACGGTTGATACGGCTGCACATATGTACTGATATATCCATGCAGTACCGCGCCCGCTTCATATCAACATATTCGCTTCATATTTCACGTGAAGCACGAGCATCAGGTACGGTCGTCCATTTGTGGGCGGGCGGGCGCGGTGGGCGTCCGGGTCGGTATGTTGCAGCTTGATAGGGCCTTATAAGGGTACCTTCCTTTTAAAGGCGCTACGCAGCGCCTGCTCAGGGGAGCGGAATTCCGTCTGCCAGACGTAATTATCCCACCCGTCTTAGAGATTTATCGTGCCACTGAACAAAGATTCCTACTCAGGCAGGGATAGCCGAGTGGTTAAGAGTGTAGACTCATAATCTCACTCTGAGCCACGAGTTCGATCCCTGCCGAGGCACAAACCTGCCTTGCAAAAATTGCAAAAATGGGGACGATACCAGCGTCAGGCCCAGGTTGACAGGCCGGCTGATGGAGGAACCCGTCACAACAATCATGACAAGTCGCAAAAGTATCAGTGTTAAAGCTAGGACGTCACCCGGAAGTGGCGCGCAGAACCCTCGCCCGAGTTCTGTGGTCAGTATGCGAGGGCTACCTCGGCCAAAGAAGCTAGTTCGAATTGGGACCCTGAACGTGGGGTCGCTTACCGGGAAGTCTCGTGAGGTTGCCGACCTCATGAGACGCAGGAATATCCAAGTCCTATGCCTTCAGGAAACGCGATGGAAGGGTGCGAAGGCCCGCGAGATTGGAGAAGGTGTCAAACTCTTCTACAATGGAGCAGACACCAAACGGAATGGCGTGGCCATAGCGGTGGCAGAATCCCTCAAGGACTGCGTCCTCTGTGAACAGAATCAGTGATCGGATCGGAGTGAGAATGGACACGAAGGAGGGTACTGGACAGTACTGACCGTGTACGCACCACAATCCGGTTGCTCCGAGGCGGAAAAGGATGAGTTCTACCTGACCCTGGACGAGGCCATAAGATCGGTTCCGGAAGATGACTACCTCACCATAGCTGGGGATCTGAATGGCCATATAGTGGAAAATGACAGACGGATCACCGCTAGTATGAGTAATGCGCGTTTGTCTGTTTGGTGTTTGTTTTGTTTATAGTTGGTTTTGTTTTGGTTTGTTGTAAAGTTTGTTGCTTTGTTGTTGTAAGTTTGTTTGTAAGTTTGTTTGTAAGTTTGTCTGTCCGGAAATTCGGTTCGACCTGAAGAACGACTTGGAGAGGTCCGGTCAAGGTGGGGATGGGTAGGGCGTGGGACAAGAAATAAAAAGCACACTTGACCTAAGGGAAGCTCCGCCCACAGTGGGCGGGGCACTCCCCGAAAGTTTGGGGTTCCGCACAAAAATGTTCATAATTCGCTTCCGGGGCAGCCTAAAGATGGGGGAAAAAGGGAATAAGGTTAGTAAGGAGTCGCCAGACTAACTGTGGCAGGTACACCCTAAATGGGCGGGGCGTACTCAAGGTGGGCGGCGCTTCTCGCAAAATTCAGTAACCCGGTTCGCGAGAGTGTTTGGAAGTCGCAAAAAGCTCAGTTTAGAATGTAAATATCTGGCGAATATAGGGCATCGCCTCAGCGTGTTGAGCCGCCAGTGGGCGGGGCTTGCCCTAAATCGCAGGGTATTCATTTTAAATGTTTGTAGCTCAGTTCCAGAACACTAAAAATACCGGAAAAAAAGTGGATTAAGTTCAGCAGAGGGTCGTCGGTTAAGATTGTAGGGCAAAAAATTGTGGGCGGAGCCTGCTCCGAGGTGGGCGGAGCCAGACAAAAAAGGTCTGTAAAACGGTTCCAGAAGCACTTCAAAAGCACCGGAAAAAAGTGGATTAAGGTCAGCAGAGGGTCGTCGGTGAGGATTGTGGGGCAAAAACATTGTGGGCGGAGCCTGCTCCGAGGTGGGCGGAGCCAGACAAAAAAGGTCTGTAAAACGGTTCCAGAATACTCCAGACACCGGAAAAAAAAGTGGATTAAGGTCAGCAAAGAGGTCCGTGCCGGGTGAGGAGTGTGGGGCAAAAACATTGTGGGCGGAGCCTGCTCCGAGGTGGGCGGAGTCAGACAAAAGATCTGCAAAACGGCCCCAGAGCACTTCAAAGACCGGAAAAAAGTGGATCAAGGTCAGCAGAGGGTCGCGGGTGAGGATTGTGGGGCAAAAACATTGTGGGCGGAGCCTGCTCCGAGGTGGGCGGAGTCAGACAAAAGATCTGCAAAACGGCCCCAGAGCACTCGAAGACCGGAAAAAAAAAAAAAAGTGGATTAAGGTCAGCAGAGGATCGTCGGTGAGGAGTGGGGCAAAAACATTATGAGCGGAGCCTGCTCCGAGGTGGGCGGAGCCAGGCAAAGTCTGCAAAAGGGCTCCGACGAGAACATCGGAATGAGGTAAGATCTAGAAGCAGAGAGCGAAGAGAAAGGTGAGATCATGTATGTAGGGGACGGTCATGCAATGGGGCGCGCGGTGGGAGGGATTCGTAGGGGGGCGCCGAGGTGACGGTGGGCGAGCCTTGCTCCGAGGTGGGCGGAATCAGACAAAATTGACAAAACGGCCCCAGAGTCACTTCAAAGGAGCGTGTGGGAAAAGAGCGAAACTGATAAGGGTGCCCAGGGAGAGGGGCGTCGTGGGAGGATTGTGGCACAAACGATGTGGGGCGGCGGGGCCTGTGTCGCGGAGGTGAAAGAGGGACGGCCGGAGAAGCCGAAGAGGGGTGCGTAAAATAGCTCAAGAGTAGGCGGTCAACAACGGGGGGGAGAGAGAGAGATTGGGTACAGTACACAAAAAGGAGGGATATCAGTTGAATCTAGACATATGTGAAGAAAGCAACGCGCGAGCGAAGGGCCAGCGCCCGCCCGCGCAGCCGGCCGTGATCCAGACAGGGAGGCACGCCGCGCGTCAGCCGGGCGGAGGCGACTGGTGTATATGTAGTGTTATATTATAACTGCTCGTTGGCAGCGTCACAGTTCATTACACCGGGTAATTTAAAAGGATCTGTGAGCAAGCGGCTTATAACCGAGAACGTGATCAAGAAGGACTTCGGAACATGTGGAGTCCTATCGTAGCGCTTCAAGAAAGGATTTTTCTATTCGTTAATACTCGTTAATGTTCCCCGTTGGGTTATTAGTAGGGCTGGGCCTCCGCTGGCCTGTTAGTGTGTCAGATCAATGGTCAAGGGGATTTTGACGCGGAGGCCGCGGGAGGGTCGATTTATGCTCAGATTCGCTGCGTTTTTCCGCCTACTCGGAACAATAGGTGCATCGGAGTCATGTCCCCGTCAGGCTTAAAGACAGCGATGGTACGCTCAAACACATTGGAGGAGTGTATGAGAACTATGCAGCCCCCCCAGCTGTCGGTGCATCTATGTAATATTTCTAGCAGTAAAAAATACATTAGACGCCGGCGGGATTCGACGCGAATAGCGCAAGAAATGCACACGCGACTTTTAAATTTATTGCTTTGACTCCATTAGTCTTATTCAATTTTGCTGGTTTATTTACAGTCTACATGCGTTAGTGTCTCATTATTCGTAGGCCTGTGTCATCGTCATCACTCTCTAGGTTTGACTTCTGAAGCATGAAGCAGATACCGCGGGTCAAAGAATGCTTTTAGGAGAAAGTTGCTTCTTGCTTGCCTTGTCATTGTGTAATTGTCATGTGTCCTTTAAATTGTCACGCTCTGTGGGAAGCGCGGCATTCCCGAGGAGAAGTGATGGCAAAGCACCACAGTTGCCCTTGATTCTAGCCCTTGTCATCACACTCTTTCCGTTCTTGAGTTTTGCAGCAATTCGCGTTAAAATGTTATCCGCATACAAGAAACTATGCCTGGGCATTGTATTCAAAGCGCAATTTACAGGACTTGAGCAAAACCAAGAAAGCTGCACGCGACAGCGCCGGCGCGGCGCGATGGTTGTTCTGCCGATCAGAGAACTCGGTGAGCATAGGAACGAAGAGGCGCGGTTTACCAGCAACCAGAGTCCACAACTTTCCTACGCGCCCCGTACTCCTGGACCCCCTGTGGCAGTGTGGGGCGGCGGGACGCCACGCACAGCATGTCGGACAGCTGGGGGCTCGAGTAGTACTAGCATACGACGCGCCGGGCCTGGGCGCGCAAGTATGGTTTGAGCGATCGAGAGGTGTCTTAGTTTTTTAGGACGTTCTTTGCAGGAAATGAAAAAAGGTGATTGACGGCAAAGGGTGCTACTTCGCGCCGTCACATATGGGTATACCGCCTAGCAGCACTCACACGTTTAACTTGGTGAGCCGGTCAGCCGTAATCGATGGGATATCGGCATGAAACCGCGAGGCCGAAGGCTTTAGATGTTTTTGAAGCTAAACTCAGCATTCTTGTGATAACTGTTACGAAAGACTTTTTGAAAATCACGTCAATATGGCCCTTGAATTTGAGGTCTCTACTAATCCCAAAAGTGCACTATCATAAAACTTATATTCCAATCCGACAGGCCACCAATATGGAACAGTGAGGTCTTGGATAGGTTGACGGGTATCCCGTTAGATCTCGCCCACTCCATCATGTGCGAGATGGACTGGGTGAGCGCATGCCTGACTTCGGACTGGTTCTCACGAGTATAAATTTGATGTTATCGCGTAAATTTGCACTTTTATAGACAAAGTGAGTTTTAAGTAAAGGCGGCAGATCGTACGTGTATGCCAGGAACAAAAGAGGTGATAATACACCACCTTGCGGGACACCACTCGGGCACGTGTAGCACTTAGAGAAAGAGTTTTCGACCTTTACACACTATTTCTCTACTGCTCAAGTATGAGCGAATCTATTTCAAGTAGTGTTTCGC